ATGTGGACTTCAACTCCCAGAATTCCCCAGCCAGAATTCTGGGAGTTGAAGTCCACATGTCTTAAAGTTGCCAAGGTTGAGAAACACTGGTCTACATAGTGGTGCTGACAGGAGCCTCCTTGAGTTGAATGAATGAAAGGCAGGAGAGAAATCTAATTAGTTAATTAAATAAATATTCAGACCCTACCTTTCACATTCACAGTTCATCTCCTCATCCCCCAAACACCCACTGTTTTATCTTCCCAACAACTCTTTGAGGCCACTGAAGCTGAGGGAAGGTAACTGCCCCCAAGTCACTCAGTGAGATGCATGGTCAAATGAGGATTTGAATGCAGGATAATGCTTTCACTCTTAACACTACAGTGGGTTATGAAAACAAGTGCACTTGTTCATTTGAACGGTATGATTCAGGCTTTGGTACAATATCAGGATCTGCGAGGATTAAGTCCTTCTAAGATGTCCAGGCAGATGTTTGGTAAGTATGGCAGTTCTTGAGATCACATGTTCTGTGGTTTGTCAGAACTTCCACTGCTCACTTCTAGCCTTCAGATTAATGTTTACTCTAAATTTGCTTCATCCACCTTTCCCATCCATTGATTCTACCTGCCTTCTGGAGCAACCAAGGACAAGTTTGCTTCATTTCCCATATGATGGATTCTCACTATCTGAAGACCTCTTCACCTTCTCTTTTCCAGGCTGAACATACCCAGCCCTTTCAACCCTTTCTCATAAACCTTGGCTTCAACAATTCTTGTTTGTCTGTATTCAATTCTCTTAATTATAATAAAGGCTGGCTGCACTGTTTGATGGTCTCTTTTGCCCTCTCTGCTAATTGCCTTCAACATGTCTTCCACACTCATCAGATTGAAATGTATACAAATAGCTACTGATCATGGAAAGAATTATCCTTGCAAGTTCTAACCAGGTAACTAACCAGCTTGCCAACATTCCTGAAAGTCTTCTCTTTATTACCTAGTGAAAGAAAGTGTAACATGATTAAGCATAGTTCTTAAGAACATACCCTATGAGGACAGGCTCAGGGAACTTGGGATGTTTAATCTAAAGAAAAGAAGACATGACAACCATGTTGAGGTATGTAAAGGGAAGCTACAGGAAAGATGAACTATTTTTCATGGCCCCAGAAATGAGGATCAGAAATAATAGGAATCAGATGTAACTTGGAAGTTTTAAAGGACAGTCACCTACCATTGGATAGTTTAAACTGGTGTTT